TATCTATCTATCTATCTATCTATCTATCTATCTATCTATCTATCTATCAAAGCATAATTACGAAGTATAAGAAAGAAGTGTGCTTGTGGAGATCCATACTGCCAACTTCACAGGCTCTAGAACTACCTAGGAGATAAGCCTTGAAGCACACCAGTGAGATATTGTCTTGGTTTGATTTCTACTGCTGTGATAAAACACTATGATACCATGATGAAAAGAATTCATTGAAGGGTTTATTTGGTTTACAGTTCCAGAGAGATAAGGTTTGGTCATGGTGGTAAAACATGGCGGCAAGCAGCAGACATGGTGGCTAGAGCAAAGGCTGAGGGTTTCATTCCAAACCATAAGCAGGAAATTAGAAGCTCTACGGTGTGGAGGTGACTTTCATTCACATTGTATCAAGGCGTGTCTCTTCATATTCAATTGTTGATTGATGAAATGGCAGTGAGCTAAATGCTCAACAGATTCTGGTATTGTCATTAGTGTGACCCATTACTGGCCTACTGTTTTATAAATCTTAAAGGGAAGGTTACACTGTCCTCTATCCCTAGACTGTTTAAGAGTTGTATCAGATGTATCTTACTGCTGATTGGTTGTCATAAAGATCTGATGGCCAATAGCTGGGGCAGGAAGTGGAAAGTGGGACTTTCAGGCAGAGAAAAGGACTCTGGGAAGAAGAAAGAAAATGGTCTTTTCATCAGGAGACAAGAGACATGACTATGGGCCTAGAAGATACAAGTAGCCATGAGGTGGACCAGAGCTAGATGGCCGGGTAAACTAATGTGAGCTAATTGAAAGTCTGCCCAACTAAGGCTTAAGCTTTGAAGTAGTGAAAAGTCTCAGTGTCTTTATATTTGGCTGGTGAGTCACCCGGTTCCTGCAACAGCACTGGAAATGGTATGAGGCTTTTGAAACCTCAAAGCCGCCCCACTCCTTCCATGACATACATCCTGCAGAAAGGCCATAACAGTCAACCTAGTGCCCAACTTACAAGTGCCTTTACTCCGACCAACTTGGATGTCCCACAGCTGGACATTCAGACCTTACCATGTTTTTGGTTTTTGGACACAGGGCTTTTCAGTGTAAGAGTCCTGGCTGTGCACGAACTAGCTCTAAAGACCAGCCTCCTAAGTGCTGGGCATGCATCACCACCACCTGAACACAAGCAATGGAAACACATCTTTGCTCAGGAGGGATCTTCCAGAGCTCATGTTCCTTCCTTCCCAGAGTTGCCAGGATGTGAATTACCAGACAAAGGGTATGACAGCGTCTCTGTGGCCTTTGCTAGAGTCTGGAGAACCTTGACAATGGGCACCCAGCTATGTAGATGTGGCTACGTGAACCAGCGACTCTCCTGGAATTAATTTTTCTTCTGAAGTCTAAAATGATGATCTGGAGACTCTTGTCAAGAGCTATAGGAGGAAGCTTTGTAATGGGCTTCAAAGAAACACACTAAAAAAAAAAAAGAGCTTGTAGTCAGTCACTGCTGGGTCCCCTAATCTCCGAGGAAGCCTGAAATTCTATGCTGTGTTCACCATTGTATCCCATGCAGTCCCTAAGATGCTCTGGGGACCCTCAGAAGACACAATGAAAGGACCTCTAGATCTTCATGAGGAACCTTTTGGGGAATCCATTTTGGAAAGAGACCACACTTCCGAATGGACAGCATTACTATGTGCACAGAGTATGTGGGGATGTGGTCTCAGCAAAACTGAAAATAGATTCTGCAGATTCTACAAGCAAGGACACAGTTTAGAAGCAGACACTGCAGCCTTCTCACGGGTCTGGGGTGAACTGAACTGGAACTCAACCTTCCCTTTGTAATTGTCCAGTTGTCTATCAGATGTCTCAGGGGTTAGAAATGTCAGCAAGCACAGTCAAGCCTGCCATGAGCACAGGTGGAGCTCAATGATAAAGAAGCCATAGGCACCTTCATCTGTGACCCACCTGGAATGAATCTGATGACATCTGATACGTTTAGCATTTTTCCTGCCTCCATCCCAAATTTTCCTATGAGTATTTGACTTTGTAAAGAATCCTTAATCTACAGAAAAATATCTAAACAGAAGTAGCTTGTAAGTCTTCATCAACCTGTGGATGCTTGTTTGTTTGAAGCCAGATATCAGGTTTTTGTCTTTGTTGTTGTTGTATCCATAATTTTTTTTTATAATCTCATTAAGGGAGTAAATGTTTAGGCTAGTTTAAATTAAACTGATGGAGAATATATGCCACCCAAGTGTTCCAAACAGCCAGTTATTTGGGTTGTGAAAGTCTTAACATTGAACTAATCTACCTGTATCTATTATTAATTGACCAAAAAGCAAAATAAATACAATTTTTTCCCTTGCTAGTGTAATTTGTTATTGCTTATTTCCTTCCCTGTTGAGAGGTACTCTCACTTGGAGATCCCTCCCTCCTTCCCTCTCTCCCTGCCTGGGTTGTATCCAGAGCCTAGCAAGGCCTCTATCTCTAGACCATTTCCCCAGTCCTGAAGAAGAATGCTTTAAAACTACATGTGTGAGCAAATAGTCTTCTTGGGTGGAACACTTTCTTGGGTCCTGACAGGCCCCAGGCCATTCATTTTAAGAATACTTTTAGACATATCTGCATTAATGTCAATGAAGGCACATGATACTAGAACCTGATTAGGGGAAAATACTTAGAAACACAGAGCATAAAGAAATCTGATTTAAATCTGTGTTTAAAGAGGCAGATCAATGCATGGTACCTGCTCTCAGGTCTTCCTCCTTGTACCAGGGACAGTAAAAGTCCATGGCTGATAGTTTGGTACTCCATCTCCCAAAGGTCGTGTTTCTGATCCTTACTTCCCCTTGAGCCTGCTTATGTACTTAGTACTAGTCTCATTGAAAGCACTGGAAGGCCACCCAGGTTCCTGGGTGACACATTCATTGCCACTGCACCTGAATGCCATTCTGGTGCCATCTTTGGACACATTGTTCTTCTTTGCCTCAATATCCCACAGGAAGGCTTTTCTAAATATATTAAGATGTCTTTAAAGCAGGGTTAGTCCCTCCAATCTGCCAATAGGCTCCCCACTGTGGAGTACCTATCACCTACTCTTGTCCCTAATTCAGACTACCCATCTAAATACCAAGGGTGCTGACCTTAAATCAAACCCTGCTTTAAATCAAGTCCCTGGAGTTTGAAGTTAGCAGTACTGCTGACAGGAGACAATGGTGTCTCTGCTTCTCATTCGTGAGTGGGTGAGTGAACGAAGATAGTGAAGGAGCCATAGGTATTGTACAGCTCGGGATGACTCTCATGACAGCTGCTTTTAAAAAGGAGCCCACCATATGTAAACAATGTGACTTCAGAGGCTCCAGTGCGAGCTCAAGAGGCTGTAGGTTCCATAATGCCACACTCAGCACCACCCTCCTCCTCAGACTTCTACTGTGTGACAGAATGGAGTGAAGACTCACGCCATGAGGAAGATGCCTCCAGTGTTGGACACGCAGCCTCTTCTGGTTGGGGTGGCATGCTTGTCATAGCCATAAACACCACACAGCAAGCCCAGGAAAAAGAATGTCACAATGAGGGTCAGCAGGAAGCAGACAATTAAGCCACCCAGCCACCTGCAGCAAAAAAAGAAAAGTAGTGTTATCATACAACTTTTGGTTGTGAGTCTAGTCTTTAATGCCAGGGCCATCTCTCCAGTGCCGTTATTACATCAACTGGGCAATGGCTAGATTGGCTGAACATGAGCTCAGGCTGGTATAGTCTTGCTCACCTAACATCAAGGGCAAGCCTTCATGACAAGAGCCCTTTCCACTCTTGCTTCTTAACCAAACCAGCCAATATACTTTCCTTTGGCTTTGTAGTGCCCTCTCTATGGAAACAGTGAACATGCACAAGCATCACATGGGGCTCATAGCAGACCCAAGCTTCCTCAGGGATCTGATCAAAACACATTCAAACCCTGTCAAATTTCTCCGTGTTGGAAGCTGTGGCAATGGTTCAGGTAGATGACAGAGAAAGCACAGCAAACTCCTCTCAATCTCAAATCTCTTTTGGAGTCACAGGAATATTCTGGGGCCATCATGTTCCTTGCTGAGCCAGAAATACTCTGAGTGGCAGATGCATGAGACATTTAGAATTTTATGAGCATCCTAAATCAAATGTCTGCAGAATGCAGAACTTAATTTTGTAATGGTCCTGGGAGACGTTTTCAGATAATGGAGCCTCAATTAGGTCTTACTGGCATTCCAGGGATCCGTACCAACTTTCCCCGAAGCCGAGGAGCACTCCAGGCTAAGAATGCTTCTCAACATAAAAGACACTAAAAAAACAGCAGTATCTGTTCATCTTGGGGCCTCCTGACAGAAGTGGACACTAAAGCTTTTCATTCAATTAAAAGCAATTTTGGTAATTACACTAATAGCTACCAGCAGTCTTTCTGTGGGAGGTTCATTCCAGATATCAGGAAAGCCAAATCAAATAAACTATGGAGCTTGGCTTCAGAGGGCTTTCAGGGTTAATGAATCAAATGACTAGTTGAAATAGTTTTGTTTTTTTTTTTAAAAAAAAAAAAAGAAAAAACAAACAAAAGCTTTATGGTCTCTAAGCAAGGCTGGAGGGAGGAAGAGAGAGTAGCCGGAAGGGGTAGACAGATAAATGTGCTATGCTGCCTTGTTTGTGAAACAAAAATGGCTTTGCAAGTTCTCTCAGGGAGGTTGTCTTATGTCTTACCCAATGTCTGCTGGGGTGTCCTAGGCCCACAAAAGAAATGTGACATGAGCCCCTGGAGGCTTATCCATTGCAGTGACCTAAGGCACAGCCAGATGAGTCCCTTCCCTTTTCTGAGCCCCAGAGTCCTTATCGACAAAACAGTCATGCACAGAGCATAACTCAGCAGATGTCGGGGAGCACTGCTGGAAATATCATGCATAAAGTGCTTAGTGAACACGTTGAACTCCTTCCCTTAAGGTGACAATCTTATCTTCTGTCTTGTGTACTCATGCAAAAAGGAAGCCAGGTGAGAGAGACTGCGCCCTTAAGAGAAGAAAGTACACCTTCCTCCTCACGCAACCCCTAAGTCCTTCCCTCTCTATGCTCTTTCTGGACTGTCCGTCATCACAGCCCAGGTCCAACCACACAACCTGCGTCACTTAAGCCCTGGGTACAGCAGCTCCCACAAGCCCCCCAGCCCAGATACGAACCTAGTGGCCTCACATCACAGCTAAGAAAACTAGATTCCTTTGGAAAATACCAGCCTCTGCACGTTTGTTTCACAAATCAATGAGGATATTTTTTAAAATACACTTCTTGATGATGTTTACCTTCCAGATCCCAACACGCCTTTGGCTTACTAACTATAGCAAAGATTCAAGAAGCAATTAACATCAAAACCCTCAACTCTTAGCTATGTGGCTCAAGGATTTCCACTCTCTCAATTTTTGCTTTTAAACAGGGAGTGTTTCGTGAATACATGTGTCACCGTTACCCGGGAACCATTTCTATATTGTTCCCATTTTAATCTGTGAGCTGCCTTAGTTGGCATTTAGGATGTGTGTGTGCAGGGTACGTGACTTGGGCATGTGTATGCTTTTAGAGGGCAGAAGTCGATATCAGACGTCTTCCTCCATCACTCCTCACCTTAAATTTTTGAGTCAGGATGTCTTACTGAAGTCATCAATTGACTGGTCCTGGACTGGTCAGCCATCAAGCTCTAGGGCTCCATCAACACCCCTCCCCTGCAGCCCAAGTACTAGAGTTACTCGGCCCCTCTTCCCTGACTTTATTATTTACTACGGGTTCTGGGGATCCAAACTCAGGTCCTCACACTTGTCCTGCAAGCCATTCACCGAAGTTCCATCTCCCCAGCGCCCTCGACTTTCAAAAAGGAACAGTTAGGGTTGCTCACACCAGCCCCACTTGGCTTCATCAGGTTATCCTGCGATTATGTCATGGTTTCATACCCGTACAAAGCAAGCTTCATGGCCCTCATTTGCCAGCTCCAGGGGGCCACTCACCAGTATGAGTCATATTCTTCCAGTTTGGGCATCTCCTGGTGGAAGTATCTGTTGCTGTTATTAAGGTAATGGGAGACCTGAAACAGCACCTCCTCAATAGGAATACTTTGACTCATGTTCTTAACGTCGGAGCTAATGGAATCCAAGGTCTTTTTGACATCTGCAAACAAAGGGACCATGGTTACTCACTTCCAAACACAGAAGGACAGAGACCTTGTTTGGGGCAAGGAAAAGTCACTTAAGGTTACTTCATGTGAGTTGTTTTGTTTTGTCTTGTTTTTTCAAGACAGGGTTTCTCTGTATAGCCCAGGCTGTCCTGGAACTCACTCTGTAGACCAGGCTGGCCTCGAACTCAGAAATCCTCCTGCCTCTGCCTCTCAAGTGCTGGGATTAAAGGCGTGCGCCACCACTGCCTGGCTTCATGTGAGTTTCTAACAAAGTAAGATTCTACAGCAACCACCAAGACCATCTACAAGCAACGGCCAAACCAAACAGTGAATCTAAGCACGGGCTTAATGAGATGGTACTAAAGTCAAGCCAGTCTCTTGAAAAAAAAAAAAAAAAGGTTGGGGGTCAGGTGACTAAAATGCAAGAATGCCTACCAAGTGCCAACCATGTCTGTCAATATTATTCAGCTCCTTCACCAGTGCAGTGCCTGCCTTAGTTCCCTCTTAAGTGTGACCCAGAGGCTCATCTGGGTTAAATTGCTGACCTATCATTCTTTTTAGGAAAGTTGATTTTTTTTGTTTGTTTTGGTTTTTTTGTTTTTGTTTTTGTTTTTCGAGACAGAGTTTCTCTGTACAGCCCTGGCTGTCCTGAATTAAAGGCTTGCGTCACCACTGCCTGGTTGATGTTTGTTTTAAAGAAGTCCTATCATATGATTTCTGGAACAGGAGGAATAAAAAACCCACTATTTAAGAAATGGCCTTCAGTGGCAGTCGTGGTGGGTGTGTGTCTGCAGTAATTCCAGCACTTGGAAGGCAGAAGCAGGTGGATTACAGCCAATCTGAGGACAACCTGGTCGACATAGAGAATACCCTTTATCAAAGACACAGGGGTGTGCGGAGGAGGGGAGTAGAGAGAAGGAAGGAGAGGGAGGGAAACAAGGAACAAGAGAGAAGGGAAGTGGAGGGGAAATGGACTAAAAATAGGAAGAAATGGCATTCATGGGCATAAGCCTCTCACATTACTTCCTAAAAAAGTGGCCTCAGTTGTTTATTTAACAATTGCTTGCCAGCTGGGGTATGGTGGTGTAACCCTTTAATCTCAGCACTTGGGAGGCAGAAGCAGACAGATCTTTGTGAGTTAGAGGCTAGCCTGGTTTACAAAGTGAGTTCTAGGACAGCTGACAGGACTGGTACACAGAGAAACCCTATCTCAAAATAAAACTAACCAATTAAATAAATAAATAGCAGCAATAATAATAATAATAAAGTTGCTTAACTCATCCAATTAAAGACTTATTACAGAAGTCCACCTGTGTTTCCTACATGTTAAGAACAACACAATTCTTGTGCTCAGGTTCCACTCAGATACATAATGGCCCCCCAGAGCAGAGATTTAAATCCAAGGACACACCAGTTTTCTAGAATGTGCTGCTCTGTCCCAACAGATCTTGGGTCACAGCCACCTGTTCACACTGTGTCACCTGGACCAGGACTCCCACAGAGGTTAGGTTCTGACCCAGAAGTATCACGAACAAACACAATAGTTAAAAGTCTCTCAGCCCTGACTGGCAGAGAAACAGAAACTGCCAAGGTAACAGCAAAGGTAAACAGGGTCAAAGCTCTCCAAACTTCTCGGCACTCTGCTGGACTCTGGGTAAGTGGTAGAGGTCTGAGGCTTGGTTCAAAATGTGATTGTATATTAAAATGGTGGGAACCTTTTCAAATGTGTTTTCCACAGGGATTTGAAATCTAGAAACAGAGAGCAGTTGAGTACACCATGCTCAGAGACCTCTTTGGCACCTCACTGACTCCTCACATGGCACTTATACAAAAATTTCTTACCTGCAGGGTCTCCACAGGCCACTTCAATGGAAGTGACATGAAGACCCAGTCTGCTTTAAGCAGATCCTTAAGGGCTTGTCTTGCCCTTGACTTCACAGGAGATAAGACACAGCCTTGTCAGCATTGGTGACTCATAGGTGGCTGAAGCTCTTTCTATTCAAATGTATTCTTCAGGCCTCATGCCTTTTTGAGGAAGGCTCCTACTGCCATCTCCCTGCTGCTGTGCCTACCTTGCACATACTTGGCTGTGTTACCAGAGTGTGATCTGTGTGTATGACTGGCTGAAGGATAGTCAGTGGTCATGCCTAATGCTTTCTCACAGTCCCAACATGTGGGTGAGCCTGACACAAAGCAGGCACTTGAAAAAAAAAAGTATTCAGACTAGGACTGAAGGCTCAAAGTGTGGGAACTAAGGTCATAAAAATAAACTAACATCTGGACTGAGAGATGGGCACTTGTCTGGCCCTGGGAAGATGCTGAATCGTGGTTAAGCAATGACACCAGAAACGCTGTGCTTTAGCTCATACAGGCAGCACAGTTGCAATAGAGGACTGCTTGGATAGGCAGAAGAGATCCAGGGAGGAGAAACAAGAAACCAAACACAAAGACTAGTAAGCAGGCATCCAGCATGCAGTAAGTGGCCTTCAAATGTTACCCAAGGTGAGCATGAACTTGCCTTTAGTATCTTTTTTATAAAGTTTTATTTATTTTATGTGTATAGGTGTTCTGCCTGCATGTGTGTCTGCATCACATGCATGTAATGCCCAAAAGAACCCGGAAGGGGGAATCAGATGCCCTGGAATTGGAATTAGAGATGGTTGTGAGCTGCCATGTGGGTGCTGAGAACTAAACCCTGATCCTCTGGAAGAACAGTCAGAGCTCTCTCTTAACTGCTGAACCATCTCTCCAGGTCCTAACATGGAATACAGTGTTTTTAAAATCATGTGGTAAGTGGATAAAATAAGTACTGGGAAGATGATCTTCAAAGGGAGGCTGTAAACTTACTCATCTTCCAGCAAATAGTCCCAAGAACACAACCTGCTTGGTATAAAGAGCTTCCTATATTGTAACAGTCTGTACACTCACTCTCCACCGCCGTAACCTGAACGTAGCACAGTTTAGTAGTTCCTAAAATCCCCTCAGCAGAGACTTGAGTCTCTAAACTTCAAAGCAGCCTTGAAGCCTAAAGGACCATCACATCAGGACCATGGACAAAAAGAAAACACTTCCACAAAGACAAATTCTTCTGTACAGTCACCTCAGAAATACAATAATCTGGGGCAGAGTTCCTCTCCCCAGGAAGATAATTATAACAGGACCTTCCAAATTGCAGCTGTTGTAAACCTCAGAAAAGCCCAGTTTAGGGAGTGACCACCCAGTGGCACCTTTACCATATAGCAACAAACATTAAATATGAAGTTTGGTGTTTTTTTTTCTCTTATCTACATCACCACTGACTACAGATGGTATAATCAAAATGTCTGATATTCCATATCTGGTACTCCATATCAATATCTGATATTCCACAGGGTATAGTGACATACCTTTTTTTTTTTAACTAGAAAAGAACAGTAACATTTATAACAAGCCCTTCCTTTATACCCACCAATCATAACATTAACAAAAAGAGAAGCAGAATGACCTTGAAGTATGACTCTTACCTTTGATGACATCCACAGTTTGGTTTTGTATCCTATCAGGTATTTCATCAATCGACGTATACCCCTAAAAATATTTCAAAATGAATTGAAGATCAGTTGGCTTATATTCCATTTTATATCAAGTAGAGAAGCAAAATTAAGACATAATGTTTATCTTAAGATTGAAATTACCTTAATATGACCATCAGGGGTCTAAACACAAATGGCCTTTAGAAAAAAGCACTGCTTTTTTGTGTTGGGCATTGAACCTAGGGTCTTGCACTCACTAGGCAAGTGTTCTGTCACTAAACTGTATGCCTAGGCTGAGACCACGTTCTTTTAACTGGATAAATCAGAGATCATCTTAAAGACTTTTCACCCTAGAAGAAAGTCCTTTGGACTATATGCAGAAAGCTCAAAAACAGATAAAGCCATTTTTTCACCAAGGAAATAAGAACCACAGGCCATTGGGACATTAAAGATTTTGAGCAAAGACATTCAAGAGGGAAACATACAATTTTTTTTTAAGTAGAAGAGAAAGTAGTGTATGAAGGCTAAAACCACAAAGTCACAGATAAAGGAGAGGGAGAGAGAAGTGAGTGCCAGGCTGAGGGCATAGTGTATGAAAAAGCATAACATTTAGGAAGGAAATAAAACCAAGTCAGTAGAGCAGCTCCTGGGCAGAGCAGGGCAGCATTCTGCATCAAGAATAAGATTCGGTCAGTATTTCCTGGACCTACAACCAAGCCCAAGAAATCAGAGGCCAAGGCCATTATGGAATCTCACTGTTTCCTATGTTCCTATGTACTAGACTGCCCTTGATATAGAGGAAGCTACCTTAGTTGTTCCAAGGAGCATACCCTTTTGACGAGGCTCTCCAGATCAGTTCTGTCGACATCATTAATGGTGTTGAGTTCCTTATCCACTGATGGGAGCTGGAAATTTATGAAACAATAAGAAAAGGTGATTAACCTTCACACATGTGTGCGTGCACACACACACACACACACACAAGCACACAGTGTCATCTTATATCCAGGTCCCAGGATGTTAACTTTGCAGGGCTTAACTTTATTTTCTATTGAAAACAGAATAAGGTTTGGGGAAATCACATTCTGTTCAGAGTGACATGTGTGCGAAGTGATTTTTAAAGTCTGCAGTCTTGCTGCAGTCAGCTACAGCTGTACAGATAAAGCATGTGTGGCTACTAGCACATGTGCTAGTGCTGAACATATTTAGTGAAGTTATAAGCAAACTTAATAAAATCGCTTTTAGAAGTAAAACAGGGGCCTAGACTATAGTCTAAATGAAGTGAAATATGTGCCAGGCTGGGTGGAATCCTCTATATTAAACAAAGCAAATAAGTAAACAAATAATACTAAAATTAAATAATACAGTCAGTAGTTTCATTGGTTAGAAGTCTGGAACCAGTTTTCCAAGTCCAGAATTGCAGGTGGATTCCAAGTAGAATAGCTCTTGGCACCTGGGATCCATGCCCTGGGGCTCTCAACTTGACACACACCAAGGACACAGCACCACTCTTGAAATAGGTCCTTGGTGAATGTGGAGAACTTGTCTCATCATGAGAGAAGACCACACATAAACCTAACGGAAGGCCACTCCCCTGAACAAACTGCATATTCAAAAATGCCAGTGTCACAACACAAGAAGATTGAGAAACAAACCCCATATTAAAGAGGAGAGAAAGAAACAATACTATTGTAACACAAGATCCGGAGTTCCAAAGAAAGAAATGTCAGAAGCCATCTAGGATACATTAAAAGCTAGCAGGTGACCTTCCTGGAGGTGGCCCACCATTTTTACATGATCTGTGATGGATGAGTTCAATGACAAGGTTCCAAAGAGACTTCATCTCAGGATTGCTTCTTGCAGCTGATATGCCTTTCCTGTCATTATTACATGAATATAATTCCCTGGATGCCTGGGATACAATAATTCTGGCTGCCTGGACAGAGAAGGGGGCAATAGCAATACATGTTTAACTTAATTCCCCACTGATAGGCAACAGTTGTTAATTGTTCAAGCCAGTGAGTTTTAACCACAGAATAAGCAAGAAAGTTTTTAGAGTTTTGTTTGTTTGTTTTTCCAGAAGTTATCAGCAAGCATTCAGTATAGTTAAAGCTAGAAGGCCAGAGACCATCAGTCTTTAAAGCTGCTTCTGAAACCATCAGTCCTTAAAGTGACCTCTATGTCCAACTCTGTGTCTCACTTCAGCCTGTTTCAAGCCAGGCAGGCTCCTAGCAGAGAAGATTAGTGTCCTCCTTAGGTTTAACTGTCAACTTGACACAAGCATCAGTCACCTGAGAAGGAAATCTCAACTGAGGGGTTGTCAAGGTCCGATTGACCTGAAGCATGCCTGTAGGGTATTATTTTGATTAGTAACCTATATGGGAGGACCCAGCCCACTGCAGGGGGCACCATTCCCTGTAAGAGAGCTAGGTAAGTACAAGCCTTTCAGCAAGCCAGCAAGTAATGTTTCTTGATGGTTTCTGCATCAAATTCCTGCTTGAGTTCCTGCCCTTATTTTTTCCTTGAGAGCAGACTATGATCTGGAAGTATAAACTAAAGAAACCTTTTTCTCCCCTAAGTTGCTTTTGGTAAGAGTGTTTTATTTTATTACAATAGCAGAAAGGGAAGCAGATATTTATGAAAAGTATCCAAAGGCATGGAAGGAGTGCCATGTATTTACAACTTTCCCACATATGCAAAAATCATATTAAAAAGCAGTAATTCCAGGTACGGTAATGTATGCCTGCCTTCCCAGCATTAGGAAGCTGAAGGCAGAGGGTAAAAGTCTGAGGTCTACCTAGATTGCTTAAAAAGTTCCAGGCAGGTGTGGGGCTATTATGAGATCCTGTCAGAAAAAGGCAAACAGCAACAACAAGGCATAAAACATTATCCTGTCAAAAGGTCTAGTCCAAACAGCTAAAATAGAACTGACCTTTAAAAGTACATTTGATGACTCCAAAAATAATTCAGCAGATATGCAATAATAGTATATGTGAAGTCTTTTTAAAAAAGTCTCATAAAAAATATTTTAAAAGAGAAAAAAAGTATTTTAAAATACTATTTTATATTGATCTAATATATCAATTAATTAATAATTAATATCACAAATAGGAAATTGTATACATCTCAAATGAGATAAATTGTAGACAGTAATGGACTTCCTATTCTAGCATATATAGTCATTATGCCTGGTTTGGGGGTGTTTTTAGCATTTTATTTTACTTAGGCTTATTGTATGTCCATATGGAGGTATGTACACATGTGAGTGCAGTGCATGTGGGGAACAGAAGAGGGCGCTGGAGCCCCTGAATCTGGAGTTATGGGCAGCCGTGAGCTACCCAAGTGTTGGGAACTGAACGCAAGTCCTCTGTAAGAGCAGCAAGTGCTTCTACCTGCTGAGCCTTCTCCCACATCCCAGTGTGCCGAGTTTTAAAACTATTTAAACGTGAGCATGCATCCTGCTATTTATCAATCTGAATTTACCTTGATAAACCATCAAATGGCACAGAACTTCTCAAAAGCCCCCTCTCCTTCATATTGTTTACTTCTGTTGCGTCCATTCCAGCAAAGTGATTAGAGGTCCTGAGAAGCCTCCCAGAGCACCGGATGTTACTCCTTTCCAGCCCAAGCCACTGTGCACTCAACAGGTGTACCCAGTCTTAGCCCTGCTTGGCTCCCTCTAGTTCTCCTGGCTGTGGTGCGCTTACACCCGCTCACCTGACTCGACTCGTGATTGCTCCCCAGATTGCTTAGCCCTGGTCTGAGGCTATCACAGATCTTGCTGGCTGGATCTGAAGCACAGTCGCTGCTATTGAGTGAATTCTCGATGCTGTTTCTAACAGAGGTCAGATTGGTACTCAGCTGGGTGCTTGCATCCTGGAAACTTTTCAGGCTGCTGCTCATGCTCTGCAGGGCGTTCTTGGTCTGTTTGATGGCTGTAAGAACACAGCCAGAATCAGAACTGGCCAGAAGAGTACCTCCAAAAAAAAAGGTCTTAAGGATAGGATACTGGTTGGAAACAAATGCTATCGTTCCTAGAAGAGGAAAGCAGCTGGCACAGTAGCTCCAGGGTAAAGGTCTTGGCTATACAGGTCTGACAAATAAGTTCCATCCCTGGGACTCTCCCAAAGGAAAAGGGAGGGAACCAGTCCCATGAGGTTGACTTCTGATTGCTACATGTGATGAGTGGTATACATTCATGCATGTTCACATACACAATATTAATAACTAGTGTTATCAGGAAGAGGAGAAGAAACTGGAGAAGTACATTCACCCCAGGAAATGACATTGGGGTGAAACGAGCAGAGGCAAGCAAAGGAGAATGGGAAGGAGAGAAGAGAGGAAAGAGGAAGGTATGGAGGAAGAGATGGAGAGAGGAAAGGAGGGAAGAAAGGAGGCTGACCAGTCTTTGAGGTTCACATTTCTGGGTTTCTAGCCTGCACAGGAAATGGTTGGGGATGGACAGAATTGATATCTGAAGATTTCAAAAGGCTGCCCCCTTTTAATTAGTTAATTAACCCATTTTTATTTTTTGATTCAAGGTTCTACATGACTCTTTACATAGCCCAGGCTGGCCTCCTCAAAGTCATGGTGTCCTTGACGTTCTAATGCCAAGGTTATAGATGTGCTACCACACCCAACACATCAATAGATGTTTTGCTGAAAATCCAGATAGTAAGCAACCTATAAGCTTTGTGGGTCTAATCTTCTCAAAACCCACCAAACTTTGCCACTTCACCACAAAACCAGCCATCAACCATACATAAGCACATGCACATAACTGTCTTTTGATAAAACTTTATTCACACAAGCAAGTGGCCAACCCCTATCAAATTGGGTCACTATTACCTCAAATAACTTTGTTTTTCCGGTATAGGTTTAGCACAAGCTTTTAAAAAACAACATTCATCCCAGGACAGCTCATGTCTTTGCCAGGCCTGTTTGCATGGCCAGATTATATTTCTCATTCCTACCCACCACTGGAGAACACGCAAGTCACAGTGAGTGACCCCGGGAAGCCAGGAATCCTGGATGGGCTATTCTTGGTCACTTTTGCCACCATGCTTACCTGATGCCATGGCCCTAATCTCTTCGAGAACAGGAGTTACTTTGGATTTTAGTTGGTCCCTTATTCTGCCTCCCAGCACAGAATCGATACCTAGATTCAAAGCAAAGGAGTTCATGAGGACAAGTTGGCTTCACCTTCAGCTCTCAGGAGCTCTCCTCACACCCCAGGAATCTACACCTGGAAAGCATCTCTCTGCCTGTCCTCAAGTCCGGGCCTGTACTTCAGACCATTACTGTGGGCTCTGATGTGAGGCGTCATCAGCTGCCTAGGAATCCCCAAACCCTCATTCCCCAGGGGAAAGTTATTCTCCATGGACCCTCAGACTTTGTGTGAAGAACACAGCATTTGCCATCTTGAATTGTGTTATTGTAACCACTGTCACCAGCTCTCCATCTACACTGGGTTTTCTCTACTGCCGTACCACTGGCATTTGGGAGCAGATATTGCTTTGTTGGAGGTAAACTGTCCTGTGCACTGCAGGATGGTGAGAAGCATCCTCTGTCTTGGTCAACAGATATCAGTACCACTGGCCCTCACTCCAGCAAATGCTGACAAATGTCATCTTGTGTTCATAACCATTTAACCAAGCTACATGTGAACTTGAATGAGACATAGTCCAGCAAAGAATGGGGGGCAGGCTATTTCTAAAGCACATCTAATGGGGCACTTAGCAGGGCTATACATCCTCTTCTACATGAAAAATAACTAAAGGAAAGGAAAGGCTTTGCAATAAACAACATAAAATTGTATTTGTTTGTTTGTTTATTATTATTTGTCATGGTTTTAATATACTTAGCCCAGGGAATGGCACTATTTGGAGGTGTGGCCTTGTTGGAGTAGGTGTGTCACTGTGGATGTGGGCTTTAAGACCCTCATCCTAGCTGCCTGGAAGTCAGTCTTTCACTAACAGCCTTCAGATGACCACACAAAATTCTCTGCTCTCAGCACAGCCTGCACTGTGCCTGCCTGGATGCTGTCATGCTCCCACCTTGATGGTAAAGGACTGAACCTCTGAACCTGCAAGCCCGCTCTAATTAAATGTTGTCCTTATAAGAGTTGCCTTGGTCATGGTGTCTCTTCACAGCAGTAAAACCCTAACTAAGACACTAGGAGGAGGAGGAGGAGGAGGAGGAGGAGGAGGAGGAGGAGGAGGAGGAGAAGAGACCATGCTTCTTTGTGTAGCCCTGGCTGTCCTGGAACTCACTCTGTAGTCCAGGATGGCCTCAAACTCACAAAAATATGTCTGCCTTTGCCTTCCAGTGCTGGGATTAAAGGTTGGCACCACCACTACCTGGCCCTGCAAGGTATAATTTTAAAACAGAAACCCAAGTCCCTCTACTTGTGAAACTTAATGGTGAGTGGCTGTTGTAGATTGCCCTAGTTCTGTTTGTATTTTGATGCTAATTCTGCTTCCTCAAGAGGGGCTGCCCTTACAAGGAGTGAATCACATCTTCAGGTGACTTCATGTGAACCCTCTCCTCATTTTAACTGGTTAAATAAAGGATAGAGCCTGTGATTGGGCAGTGGAAGAGAAAGGTGGGGCTGGAGGTTTTAGAGAGGGAGAGAGAGGACGGAGGAGAGAAAGGAAGAGAGAGGAAGAAGGGGAAGATGAACCAGAAACATGTGGCCTGAAGGAGCCACAAGTAACAAGGAATTTCATAGCTGGGGAATAAAATATTGTAGAGTAGAGTGAATCTGACCAATCTAGGCATGCAGCTTATAAATATTATAACTGAGTTGTGTGTTCTTTGCATAGGCTTATTGAGGTTGGAGATTTACTGCAACAAGTGGTTTTTCTTTTAAAACAAAGAAGTGGTTTTAATTTATATGGATGAGTGTTTTGCCTGTATGTGTGTTTGTGTACCAGGTGTATGCTTGCTGTCCTTGAGGAAAGCAGAAGGCATTGGATGTCCTAGAAACGAAGTTATGGATGGTTGTGAGCCTCCATGTGGTTACGGAGAAAAGAACCTAGGTTCTCTATAAGAGCAACAAGTTCGACTCACCATTAAGCCATTTTTCTGGTCCCTAAATGTTGGATTTTAACCATCCAATGACAAGTGGCAAACACCCAGTAGTTCTATGGCTTGTCCTGTCTTCCTCCTACCTTCAGTTGCTTCCTCCTTTGGTCTATGCTTTATAAGAGGTAGGTAGCTAAGGCATCTTCTGAGCCCTAACAATTAAAATGCAAACCATCTTTCAATGCTACTCACCATCCAGGTCTGAGAATGCCTTGTTCTTGGTGTTGGTGTACTGCTCCAATATATAGTCAATTTGCTGGAAAAGAAAGCTACATGGTATCTGCCCTCTGAGATGCAAAGTGATTCTACAAAGACAACATTTAAGATTTAAGATGATAAGAAAAAAATTAACTCTGTCAGAGCACTTTGAAAAAGAAATAGCTAGGAGGTGGTGAATGTTCCTCTTATCTGGTACTCTGATGGACACACTCCCACACCTTACTGCCTATCACAAACTTCTCTATTTCGCTTGCTTATTATAAACTTACTAGCTGTGGTCATGTCTTATGTTTCAAGATTCTGTGGACCAGCTAGGTGGGCCATGGTGAGGACTGTACGGATGAGCAGAGGTGGGTCTGTCTCTCTCCGTATGTTCTTGCATCTTCCTACTGGCCAGCTTGGGTATCTTCACAAGATATCCTCAGGATCACCATCAACGATACTCTACGCCAGGCTCCTAGAAGCTGGAGTTTCGAACTATCCCAAGGTCATGTCCACTGTGTCATCCTGGTCATAAACAGGTCACAGAGACAGCCCAGACTCAAGAAACAATGAAGAAAAAGGCTTGCCGAAGTTTTGAAGCATGAGTCCATGATATTGACTATTCCTGACTGTCCTTCTAGAGGAGTATTTATCTTCTTATCTACAGTGGCTCAGATGACCTGCTTCCTACCCTCTCTGTGAGGCTGGGTTAACATTCTTCTAGAGTTGTCAACCTTCTCAGTGAATGCTGCAGAGTTTAAATTTTCATTTCCCTGATTACCAGAGGTGAAACATCTTGTTCTGTTCGGAGACAGCTACATTCTTGTCAGTTGCCTCTTCAATTATCTATAAAATTTCTATTTGTTAGATGTCTGCATATATGTTCAACCAGGTATGTTTCCCCAAAATCTTAGCAATTTACTCTCTTTATAAAAGAATGAGAGACAGCCTAGTTTTCAGGTGCTACTGTTGTTACTTTTGGCATTTGGGGAGGGGAAAGGAGTTTTCTGTGGACTCTTCAGGATGTTACACGAAAAACATGAGCTTTTGTTTACATGAGAAAAAAGTAATTCTGCCTATGCTAGACTGCAACGCCATGCAGGGTTCTCTATCCTCCTCCTCCGCCCTAATGCTGCCATTTTTTACTTCCAGCTCCTTGACACACTTGATGCACAGCATTTTGAGGACAGAGTCAACTCAGAAGGCCACATCTTGTTCAGGGATCCACAGGTTTGGGGGGGATGGGAGGGGACACTCCCCAATTCGAATACCCACAAGTGTCACACGCTAAGTCACTTCCTGCTCGGAACCTTTCCAAGTCTTCTTCTGTACACTGTCTTCCAAAATGACGTGTGTGTGTGTGTGTGTGTGTGTGTGTGTGTGTGTGTGTGTGTGAGAGAGAGAGAGAGAGAGAGAGAGAGAGAGAGAGAGAGAGAGAGAGAGAAGAAAGTTCTTCCTAAGCAGACTGACACACCTACACAGATAATAATAAGCAGGTGTGTACAAAGCTAGTGAATTCTATCTTAAAAGTAACTATGTAAGTGATAAGAGATTAACTACACCCACCAAACGAAAGGCAAGAGCATCCAACAATGTTAACAACAACAACAACAACAACCAATGAGAACCCAAAACAACCCACAATGAGACTCTTAAAATTGTTAGGTACTTTTATATGTGCAGTGATTTTTGTTATGACTAAATAAAACAAAATAAGACACCTATATTTTAAGGCTATAGAAACCATATTTTCATGCTTCTGAGAACTCTCTGGTTGTGTTTCTTCATCTACACCATTAAAAAAGCAATGACTTTCCATGTGGGTTCACTGAATTCTTAAAAGGTTTGGCTGAGCTTCTAAATGCACACACAGGTACTCAGAGCAGCTTACGCCAAACGCCGTGAAATGTGCAGGCTGTAGGTTTTTACCTTTGGGGTTTCAGTCAGGAGTGTTTGCAAGTCTCTGAAATTGCTCTCTGCCAGTTTCTGGGTCCTTCTGGTGCGAGTCCTTGTCTGCTGGTTGGCCACAAAGCCATACATGATGCCAAGGCTGCAAGAAAAGAGAAGTGTTGGCCAAGATCCAGAGTCCTCAGCAGCACAGGAGCCACAGAACGGCCCCGTCGGCCACCTTCCACTGCAGCCCACCCACTAACCGCCATCAGCACACCATCAAAATGAAGACACAAAACAGGATTGAGGCCTCTCTGAAGACAGATCTCTTCATAAATGAACAGTGTCCAGAACAAATACTGGAAGGACAGTGACAAAGGCACAGGCAGTGTCAGGTGTGTGTGTATGTCTGTGTGTCTGTCTGTGTGTGTTTTGTAGGTATACCCTCCTCTTACACCCACACAAACATTCTCATGCACCTGAGCTACCCCAAAAAAAGAGGGAAATAGCAAAATGAGAAGAGGGACTTGGGATGTCTAGTCGTTTTTCATTTGATTGTTAGTTTCTGTATTGTCCAGATTGAAAAGAAACAAGGTATTTCAGCATTAAAGCACTGTGGGAAGGCTTAGCCTCATTTCCTGTTGCTGGGATAAAATACACTCAGTGATTTCCTCCCACAAGGTTATGTCAAGATGACAATTGCAGGTGAACACACACAGGGAGGAATGATTACGACATTCATTTATATAAAGTACAAAATCCACCCAAATGTTGGTGCTAGAAATATCCTGGTTTTCCTGGTGAGGGTTGTGTTTTCCTCAGGGAAATTCTTGAATATGTACTTATGAAAAAAAAACTTTTCTCTACATAAAATACACATCATAAGGGATTCCAAAATCCTTCACATGGCCACCTTACAGGAAAGACTATCCTATGCGAAATGAAAAGCTTCTTCCTCATTATCTCAAAGGACTGAATTCAAATGTACTAAAAGCTCTTATGCTTATTAGCTACTATCGATCTCTTGATTTAAATTATACAAATTGGTTCATTTGTTGAGGCAGAGCCTCTGAATGTTAGAATTTTATAGGGTGTAGGAGTAAATTCCCAACCAGGCATGGTGGTGTACACCATTATCCTGACACTTGGAAGAGAAAGGTGAGAAGACCTCAGATCTCTAGGCTAACCTGAGGAGCACAGAGACCTTGTCTCAAAATTAAAACAACACCCCCCCCCCACAAAAAAAAAAAAAAAAACCTGACAGGAGAGCTAAAACCCAAACCACTTTTCAGTTTGACCACTAGAGGGAAGCAATGAATTAATAAATAACACAACACATTTTACCCACAGACCCAAAAGATCAAAACTGTTATTTTGTAACTGTCCAGTGTACAACGTGCATATATTTTTAAGAACAATTTAGAAAGTACTGGAGAAACCTTGAGAAAACAATATGCAGCCTATTAGGTTACCAAGCAATTTATTGTGTTTTATGCACACATACACACATACCAGTAGGATAATAGGTATCACAACTTTTTGCTTTGAAAAATCCTATGTCACCAAAAACAAAACGAAACAAGAAAAAAAACCCAAACAAACAAACAAATGAACAACAACAACAAATATACGAGTCCCAGGACAGATATTCACTCTGTTTAAGAGTACTGCTATATGGGGCTGGAGAGATGCCTCAGCAGGAAGAAAGTATTCTTAACTGCTCTTCCAGAGAACCCATGTTTAGTTCCTAGCACCTGTGGGGCTGCTCACAACTGTAATTCCAGCTCTGGGGCATCCAATGCCTCTGGCTTCCAAGGGCATCTACATTCCTGTGCTCATACGCACGCACAGACACATACACACATGGACACATAATCAAACATACACATACAGGACAAAAAAGTCACACATAGCCACATACAGACAGACACAGACACACAAAATTATTTTAAACAAATAAAAAGTACTGTTGCATCTGGAGGAGTACTTAGTTCTTTTGTGGTTTCTCTTTCTTCCTGTGGCACTAATGAATGCACAGTTCCACTAGGGCTCCCAAAGTGACCCTAACATGCCTACGTGGCACATGTCACAGAATAGTACTTTACTCGGCCTAGTGAGCTACAGTGGAATTGGAAGAGAGGGAACATGTGACTTGGGTCTGATTCCTCGTCCCCACCTCGTCTCCCACCACCACCCCTCATGCCCCAGCCCACTAACTCTTTGAAGACCTTTTTCCTATCTGAGCCTCAGCCACCATCTCAAAGGGGATTAGGGGACGTCCACAAATTCCCTGGGACGTGTTTATTCTTAAGCTTGAGTTCCATCTTAGTGCAACCTCAGAAAATGAAGACAAAATGTCCTGTACCCTTTGAACTGCCGTATGATCCCCTACTCTGTCGTAAACTTATATTTGCATAGGAAGCACTCACTGTGGCTCAGTTATAATCATTACTGACAAGCATGACACCCTAATCCTAAGCTAGGTTAGTGACTCAAGGATTTTAGAGTTATGTGCAGGACATACATGCATACACAAACACACACAACCAAGAACGGAAACACGGTAATGTACAAGGGTCTTTATTTAACTAAGCCAGGTTCAAATAGGTTGTAACAGCCCCTGAATAGAGCTGGTATCTGCCCTGGGGAATCTTACTTTCTCTCCCTGCATTCTACAAACTATCTTAGTCATTCTACTGAGCAGCAGAACCATTTGGTCACAGAACAAGTCAAAGTGGACCAGGAAGTTCACCACTTCCTATTGACCTTTTTCCATCCATCCCCATGAAAGGAGCTCTTCCACAGGGATCTGTGATGTTGTGTGTCGCAATGCCTGCTGAGGTTTATTCTTAGTTATACCTAAGTTCAATGTCCCTAAAAGGAGGTAGTAATTACCTCCCTGTCAACTTTGTCTTGTGTAGTCTGTCCCCATACAGGAGCACTAGAAGGTTTGTTCTAAACTTGATCTGCTTACAATGACTGTGTGCTCAGAGTGGAAGTCAGAAACTGCCCTTGTCCTTTATTCTCCATGACTTTACTCACAAGCCCATCACTCAGATCAACGGATTGCCATACAACCTTTCAGAAAATATTCTTTCTAAACTTTCTGTCAAGAACAAAGTTCTAGAAAGCCTGGCTAGAGAGGATCAAAATCATGCTATCAATAACTTTAACAAAAATCTGTGCTGAACAGAGCTCTGCAAATGAACTCAAGGACTTTCCAAGCAAGTTTTCAGTGTAAATGTTTATGTTTAGGTTACAAATGACAGGTCCAGGGGCTGGAGAGATGGCTCAGCGGTTAGCAAGGATGCTTTTCCAGAGGACCCAGGTTCAAATCCCAGCACCCACTTGGTCACTCTGTAACTCTAGTTCCTGAGGATCTGGCTTTGGCAGGCATCATGCATCCACAAAATGAACAGACATACATGAATATAAAACACCCAAAGGTGACAACAACAACAACAATAATAATAACTTTTAAAATGACAAGTCCAAAAGCCCTCGTGGTCAGACAGAAAGCACGAGGGGAAACAGAATGGTCTGAGACCTGAAAGATGTCAGATGGCTGGCAGAACATTTTCTCTGTAGTTCTCCAAAGTAACACCAAAAAGGAACTTCCCAGCATCTACAAACACCTGCACACTGAGTTCTTACATAAAACTTCTCAATGTGTAAATACTAGCAACTGGTAAAAACTTTACTGACCAACGCTAGTTTCCAATTATGATCTCTAATTTAAACCTTCCATTTAAACAAAATAGAGAATGAATGACTCTATTTGCCGTCAATTTGGACACTCTCTGTCATTCATTGTATTTTAAAGCAAACATTAGAGCCATATAAATTAATTTTTCTTCATTTTAACAGTTGCCAGTCAATGATTAGGGAACGAAGACACTGAGAAAAAATGACCCAAGGCAAACAAGCCACAAAACATCAATGGATTCCCCCATCCACAGAACCAGACCTAACTCTTCTTAAACTACCAAATATGTGCTTTGGTGTAGTATAGTAAAATGTCTTCAGATTTTGAGAAGACAGGAACTTTTATTTGTAGGATAAATGGCATTATGAATTGTCTATACACTGTGGAAAATCATCTCCTCACATACTTATATAAAGACTTAAGAGCTTTTATAGACTAAATCTTTAGAAAATTAAGCAATTTTTTCCCTATCTACAGCCTTAATGAAATTGGCCAGTGAAAAGCCAAATAAACGCTTTTAGCGAGCGGTAACCGATCTCTTCCTTCTTCGAAGTTACTTATTTAAATTTTAAACGATCAGATCTCTTGTTCCCATTAACAGAGACTCAAGATGTTCTGGCAGGATACATTTTGACCTGTTGTCTGAGAGTCTCTACCCTCTAAGCTGGGGAGTGATAAGCATATCCTATACTTAGATAAATTTAGAAGCTTTAGTTTGCCGGGGGAATCATTACCAAAGCTGACTTACAATGATAGCCAGAAATTTTCCGAAATTCAAGGTATGGATGGGGTTAGGCTTTTCTATTGTTTCTAGATTCATCTTTACTTTTCCTTATGTGCATGCTTGTATGTCTGTGTCCGGGTGTGTGCAAATGAGCCCAGGGCGCACAGAGGCCAGGAAAGGCTGTTGGACCCCTGGGGCTGGAGTTACAGGTGGCTTCAAAGTAACTCACCCAGTGTGAGTGCTTCAAACCGAACTTGTGTCCTCTGCAAGACCAGCAAGCACTTGAAAGCACTAAGCTATCTTTCCAGCCTTCTTTTCTCTTACAAAGCCTTTGGGACACTCTGACAAATGTAGTTGATGACAAGTGTGAAGGAAATACAAGTAGTTGTTTTTTTTTTCTGAGGAAGATACATCTGCTGACTCAGCCAAAGAAGCAGGAATGCAATCCTCTGCAGATGGACAGACTGCAGAAACACGTGGCCCAGTCCCAAGGGTCTCACATTCTATGGCTGCCTTTAGGGAAGACTCAAGAGAAAGCTCGGCCTCGTGGGCTTCCCCACACACCAGGGAAGTCTTCCTCCTCATGTATAGCCTTGTCAAGAACAAAACAATAAGAGACTGAAAAAAAGAATCTGTGAGATGGAAAGGTATAAACATAACAAGCAAAGTGGTCACGATTAAGAGTCAAACCAACTGTACTGAATTGTATTTCAAATGAATGAATGGAGTTGAGTCACGTGGGCACGTTCAAGGTTAGTGGAAGGATTTAGTTTAATCATAGCAAACACATTTATCAGTAATATGCAATATCTGCTGAAGCAGAAGCTAGAAGAGCTGCTAAGAAATGGAGGACTGTCAGCAGGGCCTCCGTCTGCCTCCCCTCCAACATGGCCGCCATCCACATCCCCTCCAACATGGCCGCCGTCCGCCTCCTCTCTAACACGACTCTGTCTGCCCCTCTTCTTTCACTCAGTTCTTTGATTTTGGTGACATGATTTCTTTCCATTTTCCTTCACTTTTTCATTTTCGTACATTCAGAGCCATTTCCTCTTCTAGTTCCTAATATCAGCTGTCCTAATTACTTGCAAACAACATTTAGCAATTTCTCAATCATGATGAAAACTGATAGGGGTTTCAAACAGAAGAGACCAAAACAGCTATAGTAAATTGAGATGTTTAAGGCAAAAAAGCTTGTCAGAATTTAAAGAAGAAGAAGAGGAAGAAGAAGAGGAAGAGGAAGAAGAAACCTATCTACTATTCTCATTTAGTCCTATAATATTTTACACATAAGTTTAATTTACAACATGAAATCAAATTAATTCTAAATTTGTCACACACTCCAACAGTAGATCAACTCTGACTTAATTATATTGAAACCTAAAATTATGAATTGAAAACAAAAAAACATAAGTAAATGTGTAAGAAACTAGAAAACAAACAGATTTTTAAAAAATAATTTTCCAAACTAATATATACTTAAAAAGCCTATCAAGATTTGTGTGATGGGTCTGCATTCAGGAATAAGATAGGTGAGCTATGTGTAAATAATGTAAATGCAAGCTACGTTTATATCTTACTTTGTAGCTTTGGTGTTGATGTATTTTGGTATTTTAAGCACAGAAAATACTTCATCAGTTCAGAATAAGGTCACTCAAAATTTATAGAAACGCAAACAAAAGTCTAACTTAAAAGAAGACTCCAATATAGAAAACATGTTTCTTTAAAAAAAAATAGAAATCCTATTATACACATGCAGATATTTGTTGAGGTTGATATAAATAAATCTGTATTATAAATAATCTTCATGGTATTTTGTCATGTATTCTCATAAGGCAAAAATGATTAAGTTTGCAGGGGGGGGGGACTAGGAAGATGACTCCAGTTAAGCACACTGGCTACTCTTCCAGAGGATCCATTTTCAAATCCCTTGCAACCTCAGTGTCAAGGGATCCAATACCTCTGCTGGCCTTTGTGGGTATTAGTCATGAACCACACATGGTACACAGACATACATGCAGGCAAAGTATTCACATAGACAAGACTATTTTATTAAAGAAATAACTAGCCTGCTAAGTAGAGAATTATCCTAAGAGAGGCAGTGTGTTCAAATGTGACTTCCTGATCTGAGCCTAGTCCTTAATGTCTAGAGTGTGTAGATGAAAAATACACAAGCCAAGTCTGTGGGTGAAGGAGACATGTGTCTCCAGCTTCTTGGAAACACTAGAGAACCCCTGTGGAGTCTGAGGGGTCTTTAGGCTTACATTTAGTAACTTACATTCCTTTGCTAACTACCCCTCCCCCTTCCCGGGATGCCCTGGTGGGTCTATGCATTCCTGAGAAGGCTTCAAAGGGAAGTAGGGAGAGACAGACACTTCAGGAATTCCCAGTGAAAGAATAGATTTGAGTTGTTTGCAAGAGACAGATAGACAGACAGAACAGAAGAAGTCAGAGATGGAGAAGAGATGTCCACACTGGGTTCAAATGGGTAAGGAATAACCAAAAGTACAGGAAGTTGTGAGGGCATATGTACCTGGGTCTTGTTTGTGTACATATTAATGCTTACATTTCTACTATTTTCAGGGAAGTCCTGTCTTTGGTCCAGCTCTCACTTCTCTGGGACAAGAGGTAATTAATTGGCTTTTGTTGGTGATGGAGGGTCTTTGTTGCTCATGTTTAAATTAATTCAGTATGTAACCCAGGTCTGTGCTAGTAACTCAGGAGCCAAGCAGCTGAGTGTCTTCCAGATTCCCAGTAACCTTTGATTCCTTTTCCAGGGGGAGTCACTGGCTTCTGTCAATCATTTCACATAATTATTTTTTTTCTAATATGAAAAGGTGTTTGGCCAAGTGTGGTGGCACATGCCTTTGATCCCAGCATTCCGGAGGCACAGGCAGGTGGAATTCTGTGAGTTTGAGGCCAGCCTCATCTACATAGTGAGTTCCAGGATAGCCAGGCTAGGTAGAAAAACACTGTTTCAAAAGCAAAAAATGAACAGTGTTTGTGCTCCCTTCCTTGTTTTATCAGATCTGCACATTCCTTTTCTTTGTCGTCTTTCTTAGAGAAGGATCTAGATCTGTGGAATCTTTAGTAGGTATATCTGTAAGCCGTGCTGTCTTAGTCAAGTATTTAATAATGACCCCAGAGGAAGCATTTCCTCTGGATTTGGACCCAGAACTTCAACTGTAGGACTTAACTGCTTTGTGTTTAAAGTCCCAACTAGTATGGTTAGACTTAAAATATCCTACAGTTGATGAGCAAATGTGGTGTTTTTAGAAAGCAAAGTAGAATGCTCACTGCAAGTCCTGTGACTATAGCTATCAGGTTCAGAAAGTGGCACTTCACTTCTTTTAGTGTAGGAAGTACTCACTGAGGACAGGCAAGATGGCTCAGCGGGTAAAAGCACTTACTGACAAGCTTGATGATCTGAGTTCAATCCCCAGGACAGGCATAATGAAATTAGAGAAGAGACCCTCAGGAGTTGCCCTCTGACCACTCTGGGTATGCACTCTGCCCCCTACCCCACCCTCAGGAGCACACACATTCACTACACACACAATAAATTAAAATGTAATTTTAAAAGATCTAAAAATGTACAAGCATTGAAGAATTGTGAAACAATAAGGGGGCCAGTGGGGGTCCATTGGGGGCATTCTTTAGCTGAGGAATAAATGCAGATCCAACAAAACAGCCCCATCTTAAAGGCATGCATGCTTCTAATCTGCATCAGCTGGACACTTCTATCAAAAGCGGGAATTACAGATGAACGTCCTGGATTATGAAGGAATTCTAGACTTCACAAGAGGGGACAAATGGTGAATTCGAGGAAAGCAGGTTTCAAAATGACAAGGAAGTGCTTTATGTTCAACAATCTTTACAAACTCACAGGGTTCGGGACTTGTCAACATTCCATTGGCAGCAACTAGCAAACAGAGGCTCTCCTTCCTGCTTCTGCACTGGGAGCCTCCACAGTGATGTCAGAGGAAGGAGGTAAATGCTTTCAGTCTTTAGGTTTGCCTGGGGATGGGGACCTGGCTCAGTGGGAGCCAAACAAGCGGGAAGACTTGAACTCAAATCCTAGGACCCCATGTAAAAAGCTAGACATTTGTGGCAAGCATCTATAACCTCAGCACACCTATGGGAGGTGGGAGGAAAAGACAGGAGAATCCCTGGAAGCTTGTAGCCAGCTAACCTAGAGTTCTCTCAGGGAAAACACAACAAAGAGGTCTTGTCTTAAGCAAAGAGGAAAATGAGGACCTACATCCAAGGTTGTTCTGTGACCTCATACAGGCCATGGCCTATACCTAGCTGAATTCACACATTTCTATGTTCCCACAACACACACACACACACACACACACACACACACACACACACACACACA